CCCCGCCGCACCCCCCCCCCCCCCCGCCCCGGCCCCCGAAGCCCTGGCCCGGGGCGGGTTCGGGTTCTGCCCGCCGGTTCAAGCCGCCACAATCCCCTTACTATGCAGGTTCAAGGACGTGGCGGTGGACGCCGCTACCGGCTCGGGCAAAACCCTAGCCTTCGTGGTTCCACTGGTGGAGATACTCCGACGAGCTTCAACCGTTCCAAAACCTCAGCAGGTCTGCTCCACACCATTACTTCTTCTTTCTTTTGTATTTTGGTAAGTAGAAGGAAAAATCGAATTTTGTTTTTTGTGCAGGTGATGGGAATGATTATATCTCCGACTAGGGAGCTGTCTTCGCAAATATACAACGTGGCAAAACCCTTCATTTCGACGCTGCCGAATTTCAAGTGTGTGCTTTTGGTTGGTGGAGGGCAAGTGAAAGCAGACACGAAGCAAATAGAGGAGGAAGGAGCCAATTTGTTGATTGGCACTCCGGGGAGACTATACGACATTATGGAACGCATGGATGGCTTGGATTTGCGAGACCTTGAGGTATGTATTTGTAAATGGAATTATGTTTCATGGGATTTGATTGAAATTATACTTAATGATATTTGTAGATGAGGCTGGTAAGCTGATAAAGGCTCATCTCATCTATATTTTGTTGCAGATTTTGATTTTAGATGAGGCTGATAGGCTCTTGGATATGGGTTTCCAGAAGCAGATAAATGATATTATGTCTCGCCTGCCAAAGCTTCGTAGAACTGGTCTCTTTTCAGCTACCCAAACTGAGGCAGTTGAAGAGCTGGCCAGAGCAGGACTAAGGAATCCTGTGAGAGTCGAAGTACGAGCAGAAACAAAATCGAATAATTCGGCATTGTCGCAACAGTTAGCCTCTTCAAAAACACCTTCTGGCCTTGCCATTGAGGCATGCTCTATAACATAGCATTGACTATACTAATGTGTTGCTAATGTCTCTTATTATTTCATTATTTCCTACTCTGACGGTGCACTCTGCATACAGTATCTAGAGTGCGAGGCAGACAAGAAACCGTCACAACTTGTGGATCTCCTTGTTAAGAATAAGTCTAACAAGACCATAGTGTAAGTAACATGAGATTAGTATGTTTTAGTGAATGTGATCAAATCAGATTTCCTGGTTAAATGTTGGTTAGCTTTGTATAGTGATTTTCTTTATTCTTTTTTAGATACTTCATGACTTGTGCTTGCGTTGACTACTGGGGACTTGTTCTTCCATTGCTTGGTTCTTTAAAGGGTTTCCCTTTGATTGCTCTACATGGGAAGATGAAGCAGGTAAAACATTACGGACCAGCTTACTTGGTCAATCTCTGGATTAGTATTTATTTAACTCATCAGTCCTTGTGCTTTCAAATTTTTATGTTTTCTAGGCTGCAAGGGACAAAGCTTTAGCCTCATTTACATCTCTCTCAAGTGGCATCCTTCTATGTACTGATGTTGCAGCTCGTGGACTCGATATTCCAGGTGTTGACTGTATAGTGCAGGTAGCTTATTACAGTAGCACCTAGATGGTCATTTCTGGTTATGAGAGCTAGAAAGTATCATTCACCTTCTTCTTTTTTTTGCAGTATGATACCCCTCAAGATCCAAATGTTTTCATACATAGAGTTGGCCGAACAGCTCGTATGGGTAGACAAGGAAGTGCTATCGTTTTTCTGTTGCCAAAGGTTTAGTTATAGCACTCATAACTATGTGATAATTGATTCCTTGTTAACAAAACTATTTTACAGCTCTGTTATGACTTTTTTTTTCTATGTTGATTTTCATTTATGATGTTGAAGGTTCTGATTGTAGTCTCACTATTGTAGGAGGAAGCTTATGTAGAATTCCTGCGGATAAGAAGAGTGCCTCTTCAAGAAAGGAAATGTTCTGATGATGTTTCTGATGTTATTCCTCCGGTAAGCATCATTTTATTGTATCCTTTATCTAATTTTACATTGAAAAAACGTATGTGCTCAACTTATTCCTCGTTAGACCTGTTATAATAATGTGACTAGGCTTCTTTTTACTGAGTGAATATCTGATCGATAACTTGTGCCAAAGATGCCAGCTTTAATATATAAGATCTTATAACACAGATTGATTTCAACACTCGTGTTTTGATGCTATTCATTAAATTAGTTTATTCTATCATATATTATCTATCATGTTGTCTTGCAAATAAAGCTTAATTTTATGGTGGTCTCTTCTGTTTTCGAAGTTTGTGGTCAAATATAATGTAGTGATATTTTTACTTTCTAAACATTTTGATAAAAGTTTTTAGTAATTGAATTGACGTCGTGTTGAAACCTTGTTTCAGATACGATCTGCCGCAAAAAAGGACCGTGATGTCATGGAAAAGGGACTCAGGGCATTTGTTTCTTACATCCGTGCATATAAAGAACACCACTGCTCTTACATTTTCAGGTGTCTTAACAGTGCCTTGTGCTCAACTTAGCCCGGGGAAAAAAATAAAAAGAAGAAAAAGAGGCCCTTTCTTTCTCTAATTTAAGTTTTTAATTATTGCAGGTGGAAAGAACTTGAAATTGGGAAACTGGGCATGGGATTCGGACTACTGCAGCTCCCTGCAATGCCTGAGGTCAAGCACCACTCTCTTTCCACAGAGGGTTTCATCCCTGTTAAAGACATCAACTTGGAGGAGATCAAGTTTAAGTAAGAACTCTATCAATCTTTTCTGTCACAATCTGAATAGAATTTTCACTCTCACTAACTTTGAGATATTGAAAAGCACAATACTTTGTTGATCTTAGAATCATGAGTGTTAATTTTGGCATGCAGTAGTATAGGCTTAAACTTCATGCTTGCTTTCTTCAATCTGTGATATTGATTAGGTTTTCTCAGCTCTCATGATAAGCCATTGCTAAAGGAAAGAATTTATATGTAGGGATAAATCTCGTGAGAAGCAAAGAAAGAAGAATCTGCAAGCAAAGAAAGAAGCAAAAAAGCAAGAAGTTAAACCTCAAAAACCCAACAAAAGCGCAAATGATACAGCTGCTCAGATGAGGAAGAAAACAGCTAAGCAAAGACGTGCTGCCCAGACAGTTGAAGATGAAGATGAGTTGGCAAGAGAATACCGCTTGCTAAAGAAGCTCAAAAGGGGGGATATTGACGAAAGTCAATTTGCGAAGTTAACAGGAACGGAAGACTTACTTTGAAGGAATAAATAGACAGAATGTGATTCTGGAATCCAGACATTATAGAAGTCTATAGCCCTTTACGAATTTCACAGGTCATAGAAAACATTTCAGCGATGGATTGGGACGCCTGTATTTGGACGAAAACAAACTGACCGAGGCATCTTAAAGTTTGTTGAAAGATAAAACCTACAGATGCAACACAAATTGTTGGAAGACAACTTTGCAGGTGGGGTGGAAAGAGCTTTCGCTCCTGCTAGTTTTGAATACGGGATCTGTTGATTAGTATAAATTTTCATCACCGGTTTGTGTTTGTTCGCTTTCTTATTTATTAGTTTAACTTGCTCTTCTTGTGAAATCTTCAGTCTGTTAAGTTGATATCGCTGGAGACTGCAGAAACAGAGAATTGTATCAGAACAGTTCATAATTTTCCATGAATGAAAACAGTAGCATACATTCTTGTGTTGCCTTCAATGTCGAACAAAAAATAACATTGTATGAAAAGAACGTACATATTGGTATCGTCTTGCGGGTTTGGATGCTGCCAAACCTTCAGCCGCAAGGAAATTACATACCAAATTGAGCAACAGTTATGATCCACTCAGTCGCAGAACAAGCCTTAACGTATGTGGTCAATTTCCTCCAGGGGAAAAAGTGTGGAAATTCTTTTTCTTTTGGCCTATTGTGGAGTGTGCATGTGCGAACTGTCAAATCTTGCACAAACAAATTGTATGATAAGCTTCCAGAATACCCAAACAAAGCACCCATCACCTCATCTTCGTGCTATGTTCCAAAGCCGCTGACTTTTCTGGCCTGAAATTTATGAATCCGATTCCTATCCAAAAAGAAAAAGAAACACGAATCTTGAACATCAAACAAGGTTAGTTATTGTTGAATGAGTGTGTTCTAATCTTATATGTTAACACGAATCTAACGAACTATTAATATGGTAGTAATGTCAATTTAGCTTGAGGAGAGAAAAAAAAAGTTCTTAAATTCCTGACCATATACACAGTCTCGTCTCCTCCCGTTGAAGTCTTTCGTCGTTTTTGAATATTTCCCACCAATAATACACAACCAGCTCGAGCATCTGAAAGTCTCTCTCTTTGGCAATGCTCCTTCCTCGTCTTCGCTCCTATATCATCCGTAAAACCCTCGTCTCTCTCCTTAACCTCCTCAGACTAATTCACCGAAAAGCCCAGACTTTCGTCCTCTTCTTCAGAATGTCCAAACCAACCTCCGATCTAGAGAACCAATTCTCTGCTCCGAGCCCTCCACCGTTCGACCCGACCCAGCCCGCCGTGCCAATTTCGTACCCAATCAAGACGCTCGAAGAGCTCGAGTCCAGGTCCTACTTCGAGTCCTTTCACTACCCTTTCAACAAAGCCTCGGTTGCTCTCCAATCTGCGTCGTCTTCTTTGCCGCTGCCCAATAGGCCGAGAATGATTGTGTGCCATGACATGGTTGGTGGCTATGGAGATGACAGGTGGGTCCAAGGAGGGACTAACCCGAATGCGTATGTGATATGGCATTGGTATTTGATGGATGTTTTCATCTACTTTTCGCATAGTCTTGTTGCTCTTCCACCTCCATGCTGGACCAATACGGCTCACAGGCACGGTGTTAAGGTACATGAAGTTTTGGGCCATTGGGATTTTCAGTAAATATGTTTTGGCTTTTGGGTTTTCAGTGATGGAGTGAATAATTGTTTGTGCTTGGAATTATGAAGAGCCTGGTACAAATGGCATGACTTTTTGTTAGTTTAAGACATAGGGGTGAGCCTTTGAGTTGGGAAGTACAGAAATTGTTGTCCTTTCTTGTTTCCTGGAAACTCAGAAATGTTGATTACAAGTCATTTCGATTTGTTTATGTTTTTGCTCGTGGGTTATGGCATGTTTTGCTTTTGAGCCGTGTATAATCCCAAATGGATGAGTTGAAAGGAATTGCTATTTGTAACTTTCTTCATTATGGAATCTAAGGTATTGGGAACTTTCATCACGGAATGGGATGAAGGCACGCTTATTTGCAATAAATTGCTCTCTACAGAAGAGTCTGCTCAAAAGTATGCTAAGTGCTTGACGGAGCTCGCTGTTGCTTTGGGCTTCGATGGATGGCTGGTATGTAGTTCACCATAACTGCATGTTTTGTTAACCGGCCAATTATCATTTGGCTTATAGTGCATTGTTGAATTCCTGGTTTCTTTCATTTTTATTGTTGGTGGCAATCCGGTCTGTTGCACTCTTGTTATTTAGTTGTCACAATTACTGCTACTGGCAGATCAATATGGAGGTTGAGTTGAAGTCGAGCCAAATCCCTAATTTGAAAGTGTTTGTCAGCCATTTGACCCAGACAATGCATTCCGCTGTCCCTGGCTCTTTAGTGATATGGCAAGTTTTTGGAGATACTATATTTCCAGTCACTTCTTATTTGTCCCCTTTTGTTATAGTGTACCATTTTAAGTTTAAGTTTGACTGGTTATTGTTAATTATGCAGGTATGATAGTGTTACAACTGATGGTAAACTTAACTGGCAAGATCAACTGAATGAAAAGAATAAACCTTTCTTTGATATATGTGATGGAATCTTTGTGAACTATACATGGAAGGTATGGTTTTCACTTCTCCCTATGGAAGTTGGTTTTTGCTTTTTCATTATTATTTCACATAGTTAAAACCTATTCTCTGCAGAAAAACTACCCTATGCTTTCAGCCGATGTTGCTGGAGACAGAATGTATGATGTCTACATGGGAATAGATGTATTTGGAAGGGGCAGTTTCGGTGGTGGACAATGGAATGTATGTGACTTCGTATAACTCTGCATTTCAGAGAAGTGTTTTTGTCTTTCATGTTATCTGGTAGTCTTGTTTTTGTCTTTCACTTATTTTATACTAAATAAGTTGAATGGAGGATTGTTATATTTTGACCTCTAATAACTCTACGTATCAGACAAGTGTTGCACTTGATGTGCTGAAAAAGGATGGTGTTTCAACTGCCATATTTGCTCCTGGATGGATCTATCAGACTAATCAACCACCAAATTTTCAGATTGCTCAGAATCAGTAATTGACTTGCCCCTTGTTGCAAAGTTTCACAAACTTGTAGTTCCATTGATTCGTATACAAACTATTCCTTAAAAAAATTTATTTAATTATTATTTTTGGATCCATTTCTGGTGGCATCATTAAGCTTCGGAATTTCCAGTACCAGTGAATAGTTTATAGGCATTATTTACGGACAAAGGCTCACATGTTATTTCCACATCTTTTGACAAAAAGCTGGTATAGTGATGCATTATTTCCTGACAGAAGCGGGCATACTGATGCGCTAATATTCCTAACTTAATCAAGTGTCCTTGAAATAATGATTATAGTTTTTTATATGTGTACTACTAAAGCTATTTGATCTTCTTGAATGCCAACATTTAGTAATTGCCAACCCTGGTTAGTTGGAAAAGAATTTTATATAATCAGCACCAGTTAGTTCCCATTAGGTTAACAGTATGAATTTTACATTTACCATTGCTTTTTTACAGTAATTTCAGTTGTTTTATGACATAGTCATATATTTTTGCAGTTGGTGGGCCCTTGTGGAAAAATCATGGGGAATAGCACAAAATTATCCTAAAGTTCTACCATTCTATTCAAATTTTGATCAGGTTGTGACTATGTTGACAACTTGACACTGTAGTGGGTCATTGGTGGACATTAGACGCATGACCCTGGTTCATAAACTTCATATATCTTGTATATGCCTGTTATCTGAACGCCATTTTTCTGTATCATTGTTCAGGGCCATGGATATCATTTTTCTGTTGATGGAGAGCAAGTATCAGATGCTCCGTGGTGCAACATTTCTTCCCAAGGTTTTCAGGTATGTACCAAATAGTCTTGTGGATTCTTTATTTTGCCATGGTACTTATCAGTATAATCATGTATCATTAGGTTTCTGTTAGATTCCTTTCTCTTTCTTCTATTCTTTTCATTAAAATATTATCGAGTATGCTGATTATTGCAATTGACATTGGGTTTTGAATCTCGCAGCCTTTCCTTGAGTATACTGACAATTCAACTCCAGATGGCATTCATGTCCATATTGAGTAAGTTTTAGTTCTTCTTCTTCCTATCAAACTGATAATTTAACACCTGGTGCGTGAGCACTTCTCATTTTTATATCAACTCTCAAAGTTTTGGCGCCTAAGCATTGCAAAAACTTGAGTTACCCACGCAGTCCAGTTGGATTGGCTACGTGGCGGTGTGCCAGGACAAGAACGAAATCGCTAGGCTAGGGAGGCGAGACGTGGTGATCTCCTTCCGAGGCACTGCCACGTGCTTAGAGTGGCTCCAGAAACTTCGGGCGCCTCACCCCCCCCCCCCCCCCCCAACCACAAAAAAAAACACTGTTACTCCTAATTCTGAGTCATCGAACTTCTGTCATGAGTACATTGTATGTGTATGTTAATATAAGACCTGAGTATTCTTCCTCATTCAAGCATATGCTGGCAAAGTATAGTTTCAGGGAAGCATCTTATAGTGGAGGAGGAAACATCACATTTAAAGGAAAACTTGAAGACAACGCTATTTTCACTGCAAGGCTCTTTCAAGGAGATCTTCTTTTGGGGGATTTACCTCTCCACTTTACATATTCTGTAAGTTATCCCTTCTGTGCATTAGAGTTACTAAAGCTGTCCAAATCTTAGTAAGACTCAACTTTTGTGTGCTGCCTAGAGTCTGATTGTTTTGACATATAGTTCACAAGCAGACAAGTGTATCCAATCTGATAGGAATTCCAGTTTGCAGTTTTTCACTTACATCTAGTTAAGCTGTGAATATTCCAATTTATGCAGGTGAAATCAGAGAATAATTCTCAACTAGGCCTGTGTCTTAATTTCTCTTCTGCTCTGAAGGAAATAAAGTCAGTACTTCTTGTTTCCCAGAACCTGAACCAATTCTCAAGCAAATTTAATAAAGTGATTATGACACGTCAACTTGAAAAGCCAGGAACTTCCTCTGGATGGGTCATACAGGAGAGTAACATCAGCATGAGTGGATACAGACTAACAGAAATAAATGCTCTGTGTTATCAGTCAGAGCCTGAATTTGATGAAAGGAGACAAAATTCCTTATCAGAAGGCCAAGATAATTCTTGTTCTCAGAATCCAACAGACTACTATGCAGTGCTTGGTCATATTTCAATTGAAACTTTTGGACACAATTCTGGTTTTCCACCTTCTGACTTGTGGCTTGTAGAAGGTCAATATATCAAATGGACTACAGGATCTAAGGGATCCAAGAACCTTAGTCTTAAGATCACGTGGAAATTGAAAGATGGGAATGATTATGCATTCCGAAATTATAATATTTATGTTGAAAAACTAGCAGAAGATGCCCGTGGCCATCCAGGAGCAACACTAGGGGTGCACGAGTATCTTGGAGTGGCTCGAGTGGAAGCTTTTTATGTTTCTGACCTTGAAGTCCCTTCTCGTACTTCTAACATCAAGTTTATTATTCAAGTGAGTGGTGTCGGCGGGAGTAGCCAGAAGCTAACCGAATCGCCTGTTTTTCTATTGGATACTGAAGCTTGGTAAACAAGTCGCAAGTGTAGTGACTGTGAGGGTGAATAATGTTGTACTTTGATAATAAGATGATGAAAATGTAGGAATTATTTATTTTCACATAAAGAAAAGTGGTGTTCCTCAACATTTGATCACCACTGCCGATTTGCTTAAATCAAATATGGTAGTTAATAAAGTCCTTCTATGTTGCATGATTGCATCTAGCAAACAGTTTCCATACTCCCTATGTCCCTTAAAACCAGACAGTGGATGGACCATAATTAGGTTTGCGCTGATACTCAATCATTAGATCATTCTGCAAACACAAGTAAACTCATTTTCACATGGACACAGAGGAATTGGCAGTTCAGTTCTGTTGCTGACACGTGAGCCCTAATCACATACTTTGTTTACCCCTGTTAAGCTTCCTAACATCAATCCTAAACCCTAGCTCCACCCACTGACATATCTTACTCAAAACCACCCAGCTACCTGCTTTGTCAATTTGTCCATGGTGAAGTGTATATCAAGCACTTCTGTCCAAACCTTTTGTCAAACAGTTTATTGTTCTCCACTATGAAAATCTCAGTTTCTATCAATAATATATTAAATTACTGACTGCAATAAAATATATAAGAAGTTGGGGTAGTGTGGTCAGGAACATGTAACAATGGTTGTGCAATCTGAAGTCTGAAGTTTGTTTTATATATATACATAGGAACTTCATAGCATCCATAAACAAAGACGCTTGACTTTGCACACCCTTTAATAATTAACAGGTGTTTAATAGTTTATGTAAGTGAACAGTTGCTGTTCTGCTTCTATGGATAAATTGCCAAAGCAACACCTATATAACACAAAAGAAGAAATGACCAATTAACCAGCCACAGTGATGTGTTTGCAAATGCTATTAGGAGGGAATTATCTGTGGTTCCAAATGCAGCTGGAATATAGATTACTATAGAATCCTTTAAATCAACATGTGATTAACACTTAATCATTCAATTACTTTGGCATATTTGGCATCCAAGCAAAGTGTCTTAAAGAGTATCAAATGGAATGACTTAGACAAGAGAGAAAGGAGAAAGGAGAAATATGATATTTTGAAATCCAACCAATAACCTCTGTTTTGGAAGTATTATTAACCTGGAGCCCTCAAAAGAGAAATTATAAATGCTTCCACCATCTATTCTTGTCTCCATGAAAAGGCAGTAGGGGGGAGACACCTTTGTCTTGTCAAATATATATATATATATATATATAATTTTAATCAATTTCCTGTTTGGTTATTTGTTTTTAACATCATTTTGATTCTACTAAAACTTTTAGCTCTAAAATCCCACTAGATGTTTCATGTTCTAGAAGACCAAGTTGGCCCCCCAAAGTTCTATTCTTCTTGCTGAAACTTGTGTGCAAGTTGTTTGACAAATTATATATAAAGAACATATAGGAACTACTAAATCATGCAAGAACATGTGAACTATTTGCTCCCTCTTGCATTTGATTAATTGGATCATTAATTCATTTGATTATGTTTCATGTAAAACTTAACTGATGTGACAGTTATGTCACTAAGGAAAATTAAAATTGCAAGATATATAAATTAGATAATCATGAATTTCCAACATATCATCACTTTTGAATGACATTTGAAACTACTGTCATTAGGTGGTTGATTAAAATAATCTAATTATACTTAGCACCTTTAATTATATGTTGATTTTCTTGGGTTAAATTAATATGTTGTTACATAACATAAACAAGTAATCTACCACTATTTTTCTTGTTGTGTGTTCATGTTGAAGGGGAAAAACTAATCATTCTTTGTTCATCCTTTAAAAGATCAATTTATTAACAACTAGTAACCTAATCATTTGAGATGCACAATGACAAAGTGTCATTGGAGATGCACTAGCATGCTAGGTGTTTTATCTACACTGCTTCAAAGGCTGAGTTAGGTTGTTTTCATTGAAGCCCGTATAGTGCAACAATTGCCCTGTCGAATCCCCAACAAGGAAAGCTGACTGTAAAGGCTGATCTTATTTTTTAAGAATACAGTAAAGCCCCTATCATATTAGAATTAAATCAGAAACAATAAAAATCATAGTGGAGATATTTTTTCTCCCTCTGTTTTGACTAAGGTATTAAATATTGGTGGTTTCGGAAATATCAAGAGTCCCAAAACACGGAAATTTTAACAGAAATATCGATATCGATAGAAATTGAATAAAAAGAATGAAAATAGTTTTAAAATATAACATTTTTGAATAAAACTTCGAGTCATGTTTATTTAATCAATTATCTACTAGTTTAACAAAAGAAATTTATAAAACCACACGGTGAGCTTGTGTGATTGAGATTACATATAATGTCCGCTGACAAACTTTGTTACTTACAAAATTTGCTAACTAATTGTTAGTTTTTGATAGACACCCAATTTCGTTTACAATTAAGTTTAGTTTTTTTTTTTTAATGGATGAACAAGAGAAATTTTGAAATTTTTGTGAGAAAATAATAAGACATTAAGTATTTTAATATAAACAAAATAAGGCTTTTTAGGACCAATGGTCCCTCAACGTAGATTTCCATTTTCGTCTCTCTCAATTCACAAAATAATTGTGAAAATTATGAGAAAATATGGAATGAGAGTAGCGTGTTATAGGTGAGGTTTTGGATAGTAAGAATAATATAAAGCAAGTATAAGTGTAAATAAATAAAAAGAAAGTGACAACACTCTAGCTATAGCGTGGTGATGAGGTCCGTGTCCATCGTCGTTAAGTGCATGGGTTCGATTGCGGTTGTGCGCAAATGTTAATTTGTGTTACGGCGTCTTTCATTTGTTCTCCATATACAGGCTCAAACTACGCAACTTTTTACATCACATTTAAAGAAAACACTAGGGAAGCTTTTTAAGTTTCAGACCTTGAGGCACTTCTAGCATCAAGTTTACTTTTTCCCAATGTCCCTTAAAACCAGACAGTAAGTTGATGGAACATAATTAGGTTTGCACTAATACTCAATCATTAGATCATTTTGCAAACACAAGTAAACTCATTTTCACATGGACACACAGGAATTAGCAGTTCAGTTTTGTTGCTGACATGCGAGCCCTAATCACATACTTTGTTAAGCTTCCTTACATCATTCATAGACCTAGTTTCACCCACTGACAAATCTTACCTAATTAAAAAGTCAACCACCCAGCCAGCTAGCTATATGGTTACCTGCTTTGTCAATTTGTCAAAGCAAACTGAGCCAAATTTTGGTCAAACAGTGTATTGTTCTCCACCATGAAAATCTCAGTCTCTATGAATAATATATAAAAATACTGACTTAAATAAAATATATAAACTTTTAAAAGAGAAGTTGGGGTGGGGTGGTCAGCAACATGTTAAAATGGTTGTGCACTCTGAATTCTGAAGTTTTTTATATATGCATAGTAGCTATAAAGGAACTTCAGAGCATCCATAAACAAAGATGCATGACTTTAAATGAACAGTTGTTGTTCTGCTTTTATGGAAAAAAAAAAAATCTAACGCCTTTATAATGATTGAGATTTCTTTGATTATGCAGAGGAAAATGACCAATTAACCAGCCACATTGATGTGTTTGCAGATGCTATTAGGAATATTTGATTAATATAGAATCATGTAAATCAACAAGTGATTAACATTTAATCATTCAATCACTTTGGCATATTTGGCATCCATGTAAAGTGTCTTAAAGAGTCTCAAATGGAATGACTTAGACAAGAGAGAAAAAAGAAAGGAGAAAGATTATATTTTGAAATCCAATCAATTAACCTCGAGCCCTCAAAAGAGAAATTATAAAGGCTCCCACTATCTATTCTTGTCTCCATGAAGAGATATATATATTTATATAATTTTAATCAATCTGCTGTGTGGTTATTTGTTTTCAACCTCATTTTGACTATGGTTAAACTTTTGGCTCTAAAATCCCACCAGATGTTTCATGTGCTAGAAGACCCAGTTGGCCCCAAAAAGTTCTATTCTTCTTGCTGAAACTTGTGTGCAAGTTGTTTGACAAATTATATACAAGCAACATCTAGGAACTACTACATCATGCATGAACATGTGAACAACTTGCGCCCTCTTCTGGCATTTGATTGTGTTTCATGTAAGACTTAATTGATGTGACAGTTATGTCAATAAGGAAGATTAAAACTTGCAAGATGTATAAATTAGATAATCATGAATGTCCAACATATCATCACTTTCTAAATGATACATGCACTTGAAACTACTGTCATTAGGTGCATGCAGACTGATTAAAATAATTTAATAATTCTTAGCACTTTTGGTTTTATGTTGATCTACTTGGATTAAATTAATATGATGTTACAGAACAGAAACAACTAATCTACCACTGTTTGTCTTGTTGTGTGTCCATCTTGAAGAGGAAAACTAATCAATTTATTAACAACCAGTAAAAGATTAATCCCTTGAATCAACAAAAACAAAAGGCCAAACACTAAGAATCAGACACCTTCCATCATATCAGAAAAAGATATACAGCACAGGCAATTAAATATACAAAAATTAACCATGGGAAAAGCATGGAAATGGCCACTTAAACAACATTCTGGGCAACCAAATAATACCCAAAATTATACACAAATATTTATATACACCCATAATTAAGTTTCTAGTAGCAGTTAATCTATGGTGGTGCTGGTAGGTACCATTGGACAAAAGCATACAAGCAAGAAAGAGCTGCAAAAAAAGGAGGATTTGATGGGGATAGAAGAAAAGAAAGAAAGAAAAAGCTCTTTCGTTTGACTTGGGGAAATTAATGCTTCCACATTAAACAAAGCTGAGGAGGAATCTTCAGTTGTTGCCTTTTGTTTTTTCCTTTACCCTTTTGAATTATTTCTTTGATTTGACACATAATGTATCGACAGATGGATTTAGAAAAACATATTATATTGAAGGTATTGATTTCTACTTCTGCATATTTCCCATGGACTGACTGACCACTTCCTTGCACCACACCCCACGTGAACAAGCTAGAAGAACAAGTTGTTATCTGCAACAGGTGGCGGCAAGCCAAGTTTTTGGCATTTTTCTAATTTTGAAGATTAGGTTTGAGATTAATAGTTTAATTAGCAGCTAAGTCAGAATTG